TATATTTATATATATATATTTTGAACTAGTTATTAAAATTACTTGCAATTTTGATATAATGTACAATAAGTTTTAATAATTCTATTAGCTTAGAATCATAAATCTTGCTTTTTTGTGTTATTGTATTTTAAAAAGTGTTCACAATATTCTGGAAGGTCTCTGTATTTAGCTAATTATTACTTATCACGTGAATTTTTCACATAATCTGAATTCAGATTGAATTCAAAATTACATAATATTATCTGATTTTAGTAGATTCCAAAGTTGACAAAATAATCCTAATTAAACTAGCAAAATAATTCTAATTAAATCAAAAACATGATCATAGTTAAACTATTAATTTGATTATAATAAAAATAACTATATAATATTAGCAAAACAAGTAATTAAATTCTAACAAAAATAATATTATTATTATAATAAAAATAGTATTTGTAAAATTATCAAATATTATAAAAGTAATATAACTTAATTAGTGATTTAAAATAACTTTGTTATAATTTAGTTAGAAATTTGACAAGTTCTTGTTTGATAGAACTTTAATAATAACTTAATAAAATTATATTTAATATTGATTTTGATCTTGAAAGATAGATCACTTATAATAATCAATTTATTATATTTGACTTAAAAGACAATTACTGGAAAGACTTATTATTTTGAATTATTATTTTTAAAATTATAAAGAAACTTAGTAAAGTTTGGTGAAGTTATTGAATATTATTCTAGCTTATCACAACAAGAACATATGTTATCTATCTTTAGTTATAGTTTTTAGTTTTTCCCACTATAAAAACTTAGTTTTTAAGTTAGTAAAAACACATGATAATATATATATAACTTAAATTTCACAAAAATAATAACAATATTAATAAAATAAAATATTGCTTGAAATATTTATTGAATTAATATCAAGAATTAAATTTTGATATTTTATTATTTACAAAATTAGGATCAATGTAATATTAATTGTGATCTATCTAAAAATAATGATTTTTATCGAATATAAATAAACTGTTATTTATTTATTGGATCAATTTAATTTTAACAATTGTTACATGTAATAATTTCAATATTAACCAATCACATATTCAGAATCTTGACTCTAACTCAGGTTCTAATTAGCCAATTAAAATGTGGTTATTACAAATAATAGTTGTTACAAATATTTTTATTTATTTATTGATCAATATTTATTCTTTAAAAATTTCTTGAAATCATATAATTTTATTAAAAATCAATTAATAATGATTATAATTGTAATCGATTATAACTGATTGAAACAATACAAACATGTATACATCTTGTAGAAATTTCTTTGAATATGTCTTTAAGATGGGTATTGAACCACATGATCGTAGGAGGAAATTACAAAATGCCGTAGCAGCTGCGATCTCCATCGAGAATATTGGTAAAAATGACAGGTTTAAAAATGACGCGCTTTAATTGGGGTTGCAAAAGTGCTACTGAAATTCTGTTTGAGCAAAGAAATTTTCCATTTATTTAAAATCGATTTTAATAGATTGTAAAATAAGTGTCAGCAAAGCGGCTATGAACTTGTATAAATAAGATTTTCCGTTATGCCATATTTTCATCAGCGAAATATTTCTTTCGCTTTGATACTTGATGTTTTGTGGTTTTTATTTTATTAATGCTGATATTGAGTAAGCATTTAAAGATAGATAATTATGCAATCGTTTAGAGGAATTGCTATCGATTGAATAATTCTTTAAAGCTATAAATCACATAATTGACCGCAAATTTATTTCATAGTTCGCTTGACAAATTCGTAGACTACTATTATTCTCTATTTTCTATTGAAGCATTATCTGATGTTAAAGACCACTAAGAAGGAAAAAAATTCTTCTATGTAGAAAGAATTCTAAATGTTTGAGTGTATTTTTCATCAATCTTTACAAGTTATACGTATTGAAATAATAATAAACTAAACATTTATTTTTTATTTTCTCTAGTATTTTGTATTTTATTTATATTTGTTTACATTAAAAAATTTAACATTTCACGTTTTTGGAAAGCAATAGTCTAGAACTACATGTACTGATTAATTAAGATTATAGTTGAACAAATGCTGTAATAGCAGTTTCGTGATCGAAATCTGCAGCGGTTTGGGCTGTATTGGCAGCTTCGATCTCCAATAAATTCGTGGTAGCCGCTTCAGTGGTGGCAGTATTTTCATCGAGAATGTTAGTAAAAATGACCGGTTTAAAACCTTGCAAAAAATGACGTTTGTTGAGGAGTGCTGTAGCAGCAGTTTCGTGATCGAAAGCTGCAGCGGTTTGGGCTGTATTGGCTGCTTCGATCTCCAATAAATTCGTGG